CACTAGTCCATAACTTAAGACCCCCATGGCTTCTCCCCCTCCCCCTCTATTATTATGGAAGGGCTCAAGGTGCTACTAGTGGGTGCTACAACATACTAGTAACTTAAAGCTTTGCAGTAGATGCTTGCCGGAAACAGGCACCAAAACAAACTAGAGAGAATGTTACAGGAAATAAAATGTGTGTTGATGGTGTTGCTGCTTTTCATACCATTTCTCTGCACTTGTGGGAACTTTCTGTATAAGGTAGACTTGCAAGCCTGGTGGATTGATTGAGGGTGGGGGGGGTGAAGGCATGGGGGGGTGGAATTATGACTTATTGCAGGTCTTTTGTGTACAAAAGAGAATGGCTGGTCACAGTCCAGCTGTGTTGCTGAGTCGGTGTATGTGCTTCTCAATGGCCTATTGTCATCCCCATTCCAAGGGCAGCTGATTAATGTCCTCCAGGAGCCCTGATTTTCCCTTAGGAAAATATTTGCTTATCAGGTGGCCGGTGGGAGCAAATCTGTCCGAGTCTATCACACGAGGAGCATGTGCTCTAAGTGTAGCTCCCAGGAGGTCTTTATTGGTATAACTCAACAAGTGAGATTTCTCTCCTCCCCCTCCCAAGTTGCAAATGTAATCAAGGGTTCAGTATCCCAAGCATGAAGAGATCTATCCCATCAAAAGAAGGGGGAGACAGAAAGAGTATTGATCAAAATCCCAGCTCCTACCTAGCTTGTGTAAAGCCCTAGGCAAAAAAAGGATGCTTTCCTCACAATTCTTTCTTTCCTCAATCTCTGCTCCTCCTCACCTTTCCCCTTCTTGCCACAAGCTAGTATTTTTTTAGAGAACGGACCAGGATGGCTTAGCAACATGATTTACTTATATCTGTCTTTTCCCTCCTACTATTTGTAGTTGTGTGCTGCAACTGGCATTTCCTTGCTGTTGTTGTTTAATTATTTCTTTTGGAGCCTCTCCAAAGTAAATAAAGGGGTATATTCCACTCTTCCCCATCTTAAAATTATATTGCAATGTGTGAAAGAACAATGGATTCTTTCTCTATTTGGCTACTCAACAGTTGCAATTATTTATTTATTACATTTGCTCCTGTTAATCCTCGTTGCCATTTAGAGAGCCCCTCGCAACCATTGTCTTGGTGCTGCCTCCCAGTATTACAGCAAGAGCATTAGAGCAAATATCTCGTTCGTTTTAAACTTTGGGGCGTCCTCATCTTGATTTTAAAGGTTTTTTTGCCTGGTGTTCAGATTCCCTTCGCCCACCCTTTTTTTTTGGTTCTCACTACACCCGAATAAAAGGCTGTGTATCAATTGAAAACCTGGTCTTGCCCTGAACCGATTGTTGCTGCCGCTCCCCCCTCCCCCTCCCTGTGATTTATTTATTTATTATTTTTTACTGGAGTGAAAAGAGGAGACCAGCTAGGAAGCATCCACATGAAGGGGTTTTCCTTAATATTGTGGCAAGATCCCGAAATGAATGAAGAGATAGTCCATTGAAAGGCGTTGAATGCCATGACAACTAGGAACAACCTCAGATTTATTCCAAACAGTTAGAACACATTGAAAGAGGGCGTCAATCATGTATTATTTCGCCAGTGAAATAAATGCAAAACCTGGTCTAGGACAAAGGCTTCCAACAGAAGCCGGACATTTGTCTACATTTCGCCCATTGTCCGCAGCTTAGCAATCGGTTTGTATTTGTGTTTGCCCGGGTCCGACCACCCAGGATGCGCTCAGGGACTTGCTTTAAAAGAAGAAGAAAACACCCGAAGCATTGTCATCCGCTTCGCATACGAGATGGGAGGCGTGGGGGGGGGGGCACACGGGGAAATATACTGATCAACGATTTTTAATTGCTTTGGGGAAGGATTTCTCTGATACCCCCCCCCCCCCCATACACATACACCAGTCTATCAGAGCGGTGTAGTGGTCATCGCCTAAGAAAGTCAAGCAGCCTTGTCTCTTGGTCCCCGGGAGAACTAGAGGACTTTGGGGAGAGGGGGCAACCCCATCTGACTTCCTTTGTAACTCCTCTTCCCCAAAGAAGGCTAAGTCCTAAATTGCCCTCCGCATGGCGGCCAACGCTGCCCACAGCTCAACCCCACCCAGATTCCCTCGGAGATTAACAGCCCAGCCTGCCGGACTCCGTCTCCGGCCCCAGAGCAAGAGGCAGCCCGAAAGTTCACTTTAGAGGAGAGGGGGGAGGCAGAAGGGGGTTGGATAGAACAAGGGAAGGACTACAACCGTGAATCTCCGAAGACTGGACTAAGATGCTGAAGGCAGGAAAGAGAGAAAGAAACAAAAAGAAGAAGAGTTTAGCTCTAGTGAAGACTGAAAATGTCTCTTCCACAAGGTTTATTTTCTTTCCAGTATCCTTAAGATGCTTTCTGAATATGCAGCAACATCATTGGCGTGTATGTGTTATATAAGCGTGAAAAATGCAATCTATTTGAAATTTTGCTTAAAAGAATGCCTTTTAATCTACAATCTCCTCTTGGATTCAGGCATTGGCTACTATAGAGTCATTCCCAGATTAATCTCTTAGAAAGCGAAAGGCTGAGACAAATTACCCCTTGTGCAAATATTTTATAAGAACCCACCAAAAACCATTCGACTCTCCAAAAGCAGAATGATCCTCTTTGCTGCTAGTTTAGCTGATTTCGAAGCAAACTGGAATCAATTACTTGCTGTTTAATTTCTAGCACTCATCCTTAAGCCTCAACCACAATATTGACCTACGAGGTTTACATAAATTGGGCTTTTGCCACCCCAACAACATCTTTTGGTAACAGTCAAGAATTTGAATAGATTTCTCCTTTGCGCTCTTTTCGGCTGTCCTTTAGGTGGTAGTTTAGTTCAAGCCATTGCACAATTGTCAATTTTCCAGTTTGCTTGCAAATAAAGGAGCGGGGGAGGGGAGGGAAGAGCAGTTATATGTCAGTAATAAAATGGAAAATGAATGCAAAATTGCGTTCGAAGTGTGTATGTGTGAGAGACGGGGGGGGGGGGATATTTCAGAAGCAATTTGTTAAAACGCTTTTTTCAAGTACGCGGAATATCTAGCTACTTGGATCGCCTTTGTATGTAAATACTGTGTAGAAAAGGCCCTCCCCATCTTTGTAATTAATTGACACGTTATACCACTCATCATGTGCTACAGCACCAATGGTGGAGGCTCACCTCCCTTCCCAAAAAACCCCACAATTTCACATCTGCAAACACTGTCTTCATCCACTTGACTCCCAAGACCCGCCCACACGTGGCCAACCTTTTGCGTTTAATGCATTTTCAACCCCCCCCCCTCTTCTCCCTCCTCTCAGCAGGTTCATGTTCGAAGACCAACCTTATATGGACAGCCCGTCTCAGCAATGGCTTGTTTTTTTCAAGGAGGCACCACCAGAGCACTGGGCTTAAAGCAGACCTTCAAGTAAATGCATGTTGGCATTTTTCCTGGAGTTACAAAGTCTTGAGGAAGCCCGCGTCGTCGTTCCCCCCCCCTCCACAACGCCGGGTTCCCCGGTTCTCCGCTCCCCAAGCCTGAAACAGCAGATAGTATATGCCCAAATTCGGCAGCTGATTTTTGTGGGCCCCCCCTCCGCCCCACCACCCCAGCCTTTCCGTTCTTCTTTCATCCCCATCCCCCANTTCTTTGTGTTTCCCTTCCCCTCCCTTGGGTTTGTGCGCCGCCCTGAGTCCCGCCGGGAATAGGACGGCATATAAATAAAATGAACCTTGAACCTTCTAGCTGGACTAGAAGACTTCCAAGGTGCCATATGATGCTAAGGCAGGCTGCTAGTGAGCTTTTAATGGGAAGGAGGGTGCACTTAAAAATCGCAATCCCTGTTATAGTGACAAGACAGAAGATGGGAAGCCTCATTATACAGACTAACTATCCTTTATACACTTGCTGGACTTGCAATGAGACTAGTTATGGAGTTGCCCAGTGATGGCTCCTAAGATCCCAATGCCAGACTCTATAGGGCAGGGAGAGGTAAATTTGGGCTTCTCAATGTGATGTGATGAAGTAGAGATGCACTTAGTCACTTTAGATGAGTGTAGCTTCTTTGTATGCTGCGTTTTGTCTCTTATGTAAGGAAGGGGTGGAATAAAACGCCACACCAGTGCTCTGTGAGCAGGGACTGTGTCTCAGAATTTGTTGGTCAGATACAGGGAACGGAAAAAAAAGGAGCCATATTCTGTGCTGGGAGCAAGGGCCGCGTTTCCTGGCATCTGGTCCCAGCAACGAGGGACCAAGGAGAAAGTGTCAACTCACCCTGTCTGAGGCTGGCACTGAAGAACCGAGGCTGTCTCTCCTTCCCTCCCCGCCCCCGCCGTCACGAAGAAGAAGGGAGAGAGGGGAAAAAAAGCTGCAGCTGGAACCGCCGATGAAAAACCAACCTTAATCTCTCGCAAGCCCACTATCAAAGCTTGGATCAGCATATCTAATGTAAACGAGCTTTCGCACACAAATAACGTGCCACATCTGGCCCCTGGGGGTTTTACAGTGTCTTAGCTACGGAGCGATTTATGGGAAGGTGCGCATGTTAAAAATTGGGAGGGGGAAATGTGGATGGGGGGGGGTTAGCAAAGCCGGATAAGTTTCGGGGGGCGGGTATGGGAGGAAACCGGGCTGGGAAAAGAGAGAAAGGAAGGTCCATTGCTGTCCGAGAGCTGCAGATCAGACGGAGGAAGCTGGGCTGGGGCGGCAGCGGGCTGGGTGTTGTAGGTCCATCTGCTTAGGAGGAGCGTAGCCAGGTTGGTGGTGGTTGATAGAGAGAGCCATGCAGGAACAGGCGTGTTTGCGCTTCCTACCAATTTATTACCGATGAACATATGGCCAATATTTTGTCCCACGTCAGAGCAGGAAGCAAAACAAACAAGATCGCGTCGTCTAGAAGAGAGAGAGGGAGGGNCACCCACCCCCTTCCCCGGTGAATGTTTGGCGAGCCGAGAGGATTGACAAACTGGTCCTTCAAAGTTTCCTGCATAAAAATTGAGCAGAATATGTCTCTAACCAACACAAAGACCGGCTTTTCTGTAAAGGACATCTTGGACTTGCCTGACACCAATGACGAAGACGGATCCATCGCGGAAGGGGGGGAGGAAGAGACGGAGGGTTCGGAGTCCCCCCAAAAGCCGGGCGTTTTGGGGACAACCGCATTGGACGCTGTTCAGACGCTGCCTCTGAAGAACCCCTTTTATGACAATACTGATAATCCCTACACGCGTTGGCTCGCCACCACCGAGAGCATCCAGTATTCTTGTAAGTAAGCAAACTTACACATCGGGGTTCCCTCTTATTGTGAGCTTGTTCCCCCATCCCTCTAGCCCCAGACTGGATGAACTGTGATAGCTCTTGTTACTTTTTCTCCGCCAAATTGGTTGTCTTTTAAAGTTCTTTTTTTTAAACAAGTAACTAAAAATAAAGAGTTTTCTTTTCTAAAGATGCTAATAGGATAAATAATAGGGTTGAATCCTTATTTATTTGGGGGCTTTGAGGGGAGGGGCGAAGAATAGGAACTAAGCCCATCCTAAATAGATTTTAAAACTCCCCTTCAACTCCGCTGCTTTCTCCTCTCTTCCCCGAGTCCTCCTCTCCACTTTTCTGACTAACAGAGCGCGCTTTGTGGGGAAATTTTGGATGGCCTTGCTTTAGGCGTTTGTAAATCGCCCCAGGCTCTGCTCTGGATCAAAGGATGGCTTGTTGAATTGTCCTTTAAAAATCAATCCACGTAGCCCAGAAAGAAGAAATCCATTCTGTTTGTTTTTAAGGGAATTGTCCAAAGTCCAAATGCTGTTTTAAGAGAAGACGTTTCAACCTAGGGAAGTTCTCCTCCGCATACCTCTCATGCGCAAGAGAACTGTGCACGGAGCTCGCTATGGTTAGTTTTAAAAAAAACAGGTTGTTCCAGACCAAAACATCCTATATTTGTTCCCGAAGAAATTGCTAAAATTTATGCGTTTTGTCTTTATCTTCTTTTATATTTCTGCATGTATCTTTTCATCTGCGCTCTGTGTGTACAACATGCATGAATAGAAAGAAAAATAAAGCGCACGATAATCACTGAGAAGGGAGGGAGAGGGGTGTGCAAACATGATAAACAAACATCGGAGGTCCATGTTAGGCTCAACGCGCCATCCAAATGTTCAAAGGGAGGCAAGCTTTCCCCTTACAAAACCGTTCCGTGGCGAAGACGCGCCTTTCCGACCGGGCAGGGACCAAGAGCGCCCGCCCGCTGGCAAAGGGCCCCGGGACTCCCCCCCCCCCCGGCCAGCCAAGCAGTGAGCCGAAAAGCAGCAGCGCCTGGCGGGACCCCGTGGTGGGGAAGGGGGAGTCTCCTGTCCCACCCGGCCGCCCCCCTCTCTTCTGAGTTGTTCCCTTTGTGGCTTTCCCCACAGTGCACGGCTTGACGTCCAGCAACTCCCAGCAGGACTCAGCGTCCAAATCTCCGGAGCCTTCCGCGGACGAGTCCCCGGACAACGACAAGGAACCTTCGAGCAACGGAGACTCGGGGAAGAAGCGGAAAAGGCGGGTGCTTTTCTCCAAAGCGCAGACTTACGAGCTGGAGAGGCGCTTCAGGCAGCAGCGGTACCTCTCGGCGCCCGAGAGGGAGCACTTGGCCAGCCTGATCCGCCTTACCCCGACGCAGGTGAAGATCTGGTTCCAGAACCACCGCTACAAAATGAAGCGGGCCCGGGCCGAGAAAGGTATGGAAGTGACTCCTCACCCCTCCCCGCGACGGGTGGCCGTTCCGGTTTTAGTCAGGGACGGCAAGCCGTGCCACACGCTCAAAGCCCAGGACTTGGCTGCCACCTTCCAGGCGGGCATCCCCTTCTCAGCCTACAGCGCCCAGTCTCTCCAGCACATGCAGTACAATGCCCAGTACAGCTCGGCCGGCACCCCACAGTACCCCACAGCGCACCACTTGGTACAAGCCCAGCAGTGGACTTGGTGAACGCTCGGGAGGCCCAGGACTCGCGCGTGGATCGAGGGCCGGTCCGACTTCGGGGCGGGTGGAGGGCCAGGGTTGAGCTCGGGAGGGGCTTGCTTCTTCCTTCTTTGGGGCGGGGGTCGGTTTCCATTCTTCGGGCGTGTTTTGTGCTCCATGTTTACAAGAAAAAAAAAACGCGACGTTGCTACTGGTCTTGTCTACCCTACGACGACAAATTTTAAATAATTATAATAAGAATAAAAAAGAATAAAAAACGGAACGCTCTCGTGATTTTTGTAAAGCATGCTTTGTGATACTGAAGCTGTGGGTCAGGGATATTACAATTCAAAGAATTGAGATTTCAAAATTTAAAAAAGAACTTTATTTCTCAAGATGGAAATAAACGTCTGGCAATTATTAAAGATGCTAAGCTAGCGAGTTTTAAATTTATGATAGGTTGCTCTATTTGAAGGAGGAATTTATTTTGGCTGTTTGTATTAAGAGCCCCCCCCCTCTCCAATCTACAACTGTACAAATCCAAAAGAACAGAACACACACGTCTATTTCACACATGTGTTTATGTGTGTATGCGCACACACAAACACGTGTTTTTCTGGTTATATAAACGCGCGCAGGTACACACGCATATAAGGATCGTCTTCATAGAAATTTTGCGGAATGGCAAATTGATGTATGTATAATTTTTTAAAGGTATTTTATTAATGGTATACTTTTGTCTGGGTTTTGTTCAGGCTTTTTAAACGCACGTTATCGACTTTCTTCTTTCGCAAACAAGAGTGTCTTTTTTTCCTTTCTTTCCTTGAAACACTTCAATAGTTCGGGTTTGGGCAGGTTTGGCCACATTGGGGAACTTTCTAGGAATTAGGCGCAATCAAATTTCGCTCTCTAAACTTTGGCTCAATCTGGAACTCATGGTAGGAAGGCGAGAGGTGCCTCTTTCAGACGAAGTTCGCTCTGAGCCCGTCTCGGTAGCCCGAAATCCCGAAGCTCCGAGTCTCAAAATACTGGAGGCAGAGCGCCCGAGGGCTGCTTCCTTCTCCCGTCGAGCTGAGCTTTGCCCTGGCCCAAAACACAGACGACCCCGCAGGAGACAGGGTCTATTCTTGTTCTCTAACCCCCCACCATACACACACTTATTCGGGTTTATTGACTAAACTTAATAAACAGATCAGGAAAGGGGGGGGGGTGCCGAGATCCTATCCCCACCGCCTCGGCCTGAAGGGAAGGTTCTGATTCTCAAAACAATCCCATGCTTTTTATTTTCTCGGTGGGTGATGTATGTGGCTCGAAACTGAGAACCGTCATTCTGGAGCTTGTGCCCCGTTTATGGATTTCGATGAGGGAAGCCAAAATGGTGCAAGAGACCCTTCCTCTCTTTTGGTGTTCGAATCCCAGCCACAAGACATTTTTAGGCAACCATTTTCTGTACGTTGATTCCACCATCATCAGCAAGACGGAGCGGTGCGAGACCTGCGTTTGACCCAAACGGCCAAGGACGGCGGCCTTTTCATACTGGATTCTTTCTGAACAACCAGGGGAAGAACGATACATTAGTACTACGTTTCAAGGACACGAAGGCACGAAACGGTCTTTCCGGGAAGGAGCGCCCGGAAAGATCCCTTCACACAGTTTGAGTCTCTTTGCCAACGGATCAGAGGAGCCGGTGCAGCTCTTGCTTGGAAGACGCGGCCGGGACAAGCTGCTCTCTGAACTTTGCCTCATTGGAGACAGAAGCTTTTCCCGCGGCTCAACTAACAGCTGGATCCGCCCAAGGGGCCCTGGGAGCTGGAAGCGCAGTCTCGGCGCGGAGCTTGCTGCCAGGCGCTGGCCAGAATTCAAAGCAAATAACTTGTGTCTGGCGTAAAGATCTAGGCCGCAGCCCGACTTTATTGGCGCAGAAGGCCTGAGGCGCCAAGGCCGCAAGGCAAGGGACCTGAGCGCTGCGCGGCCTACCCCAGCGTCGGCAGCCAGTTGGGGAAGCGCCTTCCTTCTTGCTGGACTCTCCCCCCGGAAAGACTGTTTCTATCCCGGGGGAAGAAGCTTTCGAGCACTCGGTTTGCCTCTCCTCAATTGAGAGCCCGCAACTTCTCTGGAGCTTCGCGCGAGGCTGGACAGAGAGAAACGCCGAGGCTTCTTAAATGGCTCCTTTAGCTGAGGCCCGAGTTCGCAACTCATTGCAGGCCTTTGCTTATTATTATTGTTGTTGTTATATGTATTTATTTTTGGAGCTACTCGCACTCCGACGCACCGGCCGGCAAACACCCAAGTCCTACTGCCGGCGGCCCACCCCACCTCGGGAGCGCTTCCTCAGGGCTCGATTTTTGCGCGCCCCGGCTTTTTCCCTCAGGGGTGAGAGGCGGGAAGACCCTCCCGCTTGAGTTCCTCCTAAGTCTATCAAGCTGGAGGACTGTTGTGTGGCCCTAACCCCCCGCGGCCTTGCACTTCACACGCTGGGGACGGCGAGGCGGTCGGTGGGAGTCTATCTTTGCACTATATACAGCGCCCATCACAAAACAGCACAATGGGGAAGGCTGGGCCTTGGGGATGTTAGAGGCGTGCATATTAAGTTGAGAGGAGAAGAGAAAGAGCCGCAGAGAGAGCGGGGCAGGAGGATGCCCGAGACAGAGAGATTCCCAATCCCTCTTCCTCCTCCTCGCCTTTCCTTTTTTTTTTCCTGGGTCCTTTTAAAACGGACAATCGTCGATGGGCGCCTTTGGAAGGAGCAGAGCATTCCCCGAGTCCGAGGGAAGTACCTCGGGTTTTTTGTTCCGCCTGTCAGTTGGTGCCATTGTGAGCCACGTTGTACAGGCGGTCTTCCATATGGACAGCTGGGCCGGGAGAGGGCAGAAAGAGACGGTTCACAAAACCCAAATTGTATCCGCTTTTCAAAACGGGCATTGTTGTCTGTGAAAGGAAGACGAATTAAAAATTCGTGCTATATCTATTCTCGGGGAGGTTGTGGGGTGGGGGGGGGGCGAGAGGGAGAAGAAAAGGCAGGGAGAATCTCTTTTCTCCTTTAAGAAAGCAAACAAGGCCCCCTTTTTCCTCCACAGCCCCTGAAAATGCGCGAATGTAGTTTCATAGGCAAGTTGGCGCCTGCATCTCTGCAGAAACGAAAATAAAACCTCAGCCGTAGTAGTATTGAATTATTTTTTTAAAAAGCCCATGATGCCGTGCCCTCCCCTCTTGCCTTTCACAGTTCACCGTTATCCTTCGGTTGCTAGCCGGTGTATCTACTCTAAAGTAGATACCACCCTCCAGACCTTCCACACAGCCCTCAAGACCTGGCTATCCCGTCAGGTCTGGGGTTAAAGATTATATTCCATCCCCATGTTGAATGAATGTTGCTTTACTCTTTTAATTATGTACCGTCCTATATGTCTCTGTATGTTTCCCCTTCCTATATAAGT